TCTGCAGCGTTTTTTGGTCCGGACCCCTACGAACGCAATCGTTAGGTCCTGGATAAAAACCACTCTGGTGAAGTGTGCCGACTAGAGCAACAAATACAGCACACTTCTCCTGGCACCGTTCTCCGTAAAAGACTTCCTTTGGCAATTCGAGGATCAGTAATCGCTTCCTGTTCCGCCAATCCTCTCGTCCTACAATCGCACGTTTGCCAATCAGTCCCACGAATCAAACCGCTACTTATCGACAGCGTAAACCCTTTCTAGCCGGGGGCTCCTGTAGTGACCTACTCTTACCAAGAGAACGCGACTGATTTAATTGAAACAATTATTATTATAAAAAATCGTACCAGTGATTGTTTTACTGTGCTCGTTTGTTTAACTGTGCTAAGGACAGTCATATTGCTCTTCCATTATTCTCCATTACTGTTTCGCGGTTCGTGACTCCGTTCGCACGTACTTTCTCCTGCCGATTCCGCTTGTACCTTTTCTTGGCACGATCCCGGTATTTATTCGACACCACGAGGTCGCCAACTAAATAAACTTGGCTTCAATCTGCACTCGCCTTCTGATTTATTTGGTACGTGTTTTTTTGTAGCGGTGTTCAGAGTCAACTGGGACTCGACACAACGCTACAAAATAAATAAATAATTTACTTAATTAGTAATGTGTAAAAGGAGGATAAAAAGGGCTCAAGTATTCGGAGCTTGACAATATCTTAATCGGTAACAACATTTATAATCGAAACATGCAAACCTAGTGAAACAAGAACTCAGAAGCAAAGAGGTTCGAAGGCAAATTTGATAGACTATCGATATATCGTGTGACTAACCTAAGCTGGCTAGTGGTTGTAAGAGATATGAAGCACGGTGTACCCACTCATGATCTTGTGCGGATGCGTGATCGAGTGCCTTCAACTACGTGATTGCAGTAAAATTAGCTCGGTCAGCATCAAATGTCGATGTCTTACAGAACTATTGATTTTGAAGATTCATTTGCTGCTACCAGGATATTGAAATAGTGATGAAGTATAGTCACAGAATGCTATCACAGTGAAAAACTGGAAAGCGTGGGCCAAATTCTGCAGGAGTTTTCAACAATGGTGTGTTGCAGTTAAGTTAAATATATAATAGCAACGATATTATGAGGCTGATCGGAAGGCAGTACATGGTTACGAAGCAGTTTATGATGCACAGCAATTAAATTACGATACACTAAAAGTTCCAGTATGACAAGTTAATAGATGAAAGATAAAATTAGGGATTATCAGCCCGTCGAGAATCGGCAGACAGAAGTTATGAGTGTTAAGGCTAGAACTTATGGTTAACATTATTAGGATTAAGAATGTAAAGTCATCGAAACGTCATTGGTTCCTTGCCAACTCGCATGACAGTCAAGTTACTGAATGTTATACATTTTACCAACCACCGGCTAGGTTAAGGACAGCTAACACACATCGAGCAATTGCACGCTACGGACTGGCTTATTTTCAGTAGTTACACCCTGTTTCATGTGCCTGTTTTTATTAATGCATTTCAGTAACATCGTTATGTTTTCTTTATACGGTCATCAAAGTAGCTTCAGTACTTGCGTTAGACGAAAACGTAATCCATATTAGGTATAGAGTGCAATGTATTACTCCGACGTAGGCATAGAGGTCATACCATCCCTGTTCAACCCTAGCAGATCTCCAATCATCGAAACCGATTATCCACCATGATGATCTAAAAGAGCGAGTAAGACTTTGTGGAGGTAGTTGACACAAACTTGTAGTGTGGTGTCAAGTCGTGGTTGGCTATGATCACCACCACAGGAAGACTACGTGCCAGTTAGCCGATAAGATCCCCGTAAGTCAAATATCAGAAGGCAGTTGATGGCTGTAGTCGAGATCTATTTGATGGCGATCTCGTGGTATCGACTGTAAAATTTTTATTTGAAAGAACTTGACATTGATCTTTCGTTCCCACTTTGTACTATCATAGCATGGCAAATCAATTGCCCCTAACAAAACACTGCTGCACTCACATACTACGCGCTATCACTAATCAGCTGTTACGATAAAGAACTCTGGTGTACTTGCTATTTTTACTGATCGTATTGATATTCTCACTACGTGATTACTCTGGATACACGATTGGATTACATCAAACATATTTGAAATCATTGACTACTTATAACTGTGTAGTACGAGACCAAAAACAATTCCAATACATCTTCCGATAATTAAATTACCGTTCAGTATTTTTCTTTGTGTATAATCCATACTTCAGTATACTAATATGGTAATGTTTTTCGTAAAAACCTGATCATTATTTTGGAGATGGTCCACCATAACCCTAAATAACGCAACTTAATATGATTGTTATCTCTGCTTAAGTGTAAGTTTGTATATTACAGTAAACATTCCCTGCTAAATCTCGATATTGATAAGTATTCAAACTTTACTAACTAGCTCAGTTACTGAACACAACTAGTCAACTAGGATTATAATCAGCAATCATGGTTCGTTAACAAGCGTTAACAGAAGGCAAGTGCTTCTGTGTTGTATGCCTGCTAAAATATTAACAACTTGGAAGTATTACCATACAGCAATGCGAATGCACATTATTCACCACCATCCTAGGTTTTGTAAGGATTGTCTATCCAACCACTGATACGTATTTGGCCTGAACTATTTTTTCACCTACACCTAACCATTCTGCGAATCTAGGAGGTAACTCCTTATTATATCGTATTTAGTGCAGATTCTCTTGGATTGATGTTGTTTTGGGGGCTCCTTCAAAGTTTCTTGATGTAAGAGCGATAATAACACAAGTTAGTTTCATAGCTGTATCGAATGTTCTGCTGTTTAGCATATTTAATGACCTTTTGTAACTAATTTCACACAGATTAATCTCATGTTATATCACTTCCGCAGGGTCGTACTCAAAATCTTATTTTTTTATACATCATGGAGCGATATACTATGGAAAAACGTGACGCGTGTACACAAATCATTCTAATCTAGGCATAAAATAGATGTTTCTTAATATCACCGTACGTTACACATTAACTAAAGCCAGACAACATGCCTTTTGCGTCAACCTTTTACAAAACGGCTGAGGGAGGAATCTAAGCAAGGACACTTCTCCTGGCCTAGGTATGGTTTACTCTCTAATTCTGAGAGAAGTGGCCTTGCCCTTGGAAACACCGCCTAGTGTTGCGTCCTTACATCCCCCATGTCGAAGCATGATCTTAGTCAATTGAAAGCTAAAACACATCATACCATTGTTCAAACGAGGCCGACTCAATGACCCTTTATCTACCGGCTGATAGCTCTCCTCTTGATGTTCACAGTCATGGAGTCCCTGATATGAGACAGCCTGGGTGGATACTTTATAGTTTTAAGATTATTTACACCCCGACAACATGGTCTCAGGAGGACTGTTCCTAAATGACCAACCTGATGACTGAGGTTGACAGACGGACAACCATCCTTATTTGAAAGGATAGGTTGGGGCGATGAACTCTGATTTCTCTATAGCTTTTGATAGGGTTAACATAATGTCTCACCAAGCCACCATTAGTAAACTGGCTTACTTCATGGCTAAATAACCTATATTTTAGGCTCATATTAAACTTCACTTTTTCTCAGCCTAAAGAATGTCTCAGTGGAAAATCTCAGAGTTCAGTGCTAGGACCTCTTCTCAAATTATATGAATGGCCTTCCTCACTGATCTAAGTTTTGGAGCGTAGTATACAATCAATATGGTAAAATGACATTTCAAAAGGACCTGACTCGACTTTAAAGATGAACGGATTACAACCGACTTACTTTCAACTCTTCAAAGTGTAACTAGTCCATCTGAGACATTTTGCCAACTACCTACACAGCTTAAGCAAAGCTCCTATGTAGGTATCAAAAGTTGAAGAATATTTATGAGTATTGGCACCCTAACATCTAAAGTCCAAAACCAAATATAACAAAAAACGTTTTTCAAGCAAACCTTGCGCTAATGACATTGAAGAGCACTTTTCGACAGTTCGATGGCAGAACTTTCTATTTGATCTTCAACACCATCTATGGTATGGAAACGTAGTGGTTCCTCCCTCATTCAGAAACGAAAAATACATGTTGGAACGTATTCAACAGCGCGCCATGAAATCAGGTCGGGGATCTAATGTAAGCCTTATGAACAGATCCTCCAACCACCGAACGTTTAATAATTAGGGTATAGGTATCTTAAAAATGACCTTCTAATGAATTACAGAATCCCAAACACTATTGGGCATCCCGTTAAACGCCTACTTAATCACAACCCCAACGCATAACTTAGGAGTGAAGATGGCACAGGTATTCAGTGTTTGACAACGCTTTTACCAGTAACACCTTCTAATATAACTCGTACCCACCAAAAGAAATCAAAATACAGAATCAAGGAGATCAGAATTTGTATTTGACGATTGCCAATATATCGGAATTGTCTGGTCTAGTCTTGCTAGCGATTGCGGTAGATGTTGAGCACGGCGTTCCCACACGTGATCTAGTGCGGATGCATGACCAGCGCCTTCAGCTAGTTGAGTCCACTAAAACTAATGTGGTCAACATCCAATGTCGAAAACTTACAGAGCTATTTATTTTGGGGATTTATTTACCGCTACAGGAGCACCACCTTAAAATTCTCGCCATAACATGGCATAATAAACTGTAGGCACACATTCTAGTGCTAACGAGTAGCCATATTCTGAAACCCACTGCCAGATAAAGTGGTTCAATTGACTTCCTAGTAGTATTTCATTGATAAACTTGATATGTTCTTAAGGACTCTGAATGGTATCTTACCATAATTTACTACTATTCCCTTTTCGTCTGTAATTTTCCATAGGTTTCTACGTGAATTCATTGGTGGTCCGTTGCTGCTGCGTATGGAGGCCTATTAGATGAAAGCCTATCCTAATCCGTCGACATCCATTTGAGCAATTGGAACCGAGAAGTCTTTTACTTTTACCCGCTTTATTTCGAAGTCCTGAGTGACCTTGGGGGAGTAACAGTGCGTTCACAACATCATTGTTTTCTCTCCACCTTCTAGATCTTCTTACGATTATGATTACAACATTTAACAGGAACAGATCTCATATTTGAATTTGCTGCCACAACCGCATAAGCAGAATTGTCTTTGGCTTATGAGCTAATTAGGCTCGGAGTATTTGTTAGCTTAGCTAGTTGCCTTATCTATAGACTTTTAGCTAGTAATTAGATTAAGACAGTAAATTATGCTTCCTGTAACAAATACCAAGCGCAACATTAACCTTTGGATAAACTATCTGTAAGTGAATTCATAATGATTCCTCAATCAGACGATATATCGTCTGATTGATGTAGTTAAGGCATATATGCTTTAAGTACATCACTACTTAACAACAAAATTGAAAGTTGGGAGTAAATTTCGTCTTAGTTTACGAAGTCTTGGAGATTTTATGAATAATGTAAGGGGATAATTTAATTTTTATAACAAGACGTCTTACAGTTTGAGTATGGTGAATCTCAAAGTGTTCAAGAAACGTTAGCTACTTCGGTAACTTTTCGCGCTTTCGTATATTTACTACTTGAGAGTTAGCGAATCTGGCGATAAAATCCCTTAGTTTTGTGTTTCAAAAAATTCCTAAGTACTTGTAATATTGGTTTAAAAGGAATAATGTAACTGGTTTCTATTTGAGCTGCACGTTCCAAGTGCTGCTGTCCTTATTAACAGTGCGTCACAATCCAGGCCTTTGGTCTCAATTTGTATAAATGAAAAACATGTTGCGAAGACTACTAACTAGCCAACTTATTTTTAATGTCCTCAAACGTATTACGGCCTTTTGTACGGGGTCTAGCTATTCAATCACATTTTACGCTCTCGAATGTGTCTACCTCTACTAGATCACGGTAAATCCTAGTTGTCTTTGTTAGCTTCACACCACGATGCAGGTTTAAAATCACTACTGTGTTCTTGCTGGTAGTTTAATAAGTTTCACTTTTGTCCTTTTCCTCTTCAGCCAGCCTAAACATGTCCTTTATAAATTCAGTTATTTTAGGTATTTATTTACTTAAACACACAAACATTGGTACAAGGAGGCACCAAATAGATATGTGCCACGTAAATCATTCGATTTGTGAGAGGGCTGGGATACTGCCCGGGTGCCAAAACCTAAGCAGGTATTTTAGATACTGTAACACTTATGTCTAATTAGGGATATATATATATATATATATATATATATATATATATATATATATCAGCTTCAACTGGCGATAGTCACTCGTGTCCTAAGAAAATATATTATTTCTGACAGGTCGTTTACTGATATAATAAATTCCTGAGTAAATTAGACAATTTACGTTCCGACTAACGGATTTAGGAGGATTGAGGTTTGTTCCAAAGAGAAAGATCTAAGGTTTCTAATTTATTGTTGTCTAACATTTGACTATCCTACCAATCATAGACAAGTAATACATTCAAACCATTCTAGATAGAAAATAATACATTTTTGTTACAACTTCTTAGTAAATAACTGACTATTATTAAGTGAGATAGTGTTATAAAACCAAGTCACTCGTGAAAATCTTAAGTATGACTTCGACTCCAGTATACATTTTTTGTGCTGTTTGTTTGTTTCATATTTTTTATTTTTATAACTCAGCATATAGGCAACTGGAGATGTCAGATGATGTTAAACTTTCTACCGAGCTTAACAAAATCGTTTTGTCGGAAAAATGTCAAAGTGAAAAGAAATGTAGGATATAATTTGTCGAGCTTCTAGACTTTTCAGTTCAGCCGATTGAACCTTTATTCAAAGATATGCAAAATGGAATCACTTTTCGGCAGTATATTGGCGAATCAGATCTAAACAGTATTATCCATCTCATTGCTAACGATCTCTCCGAACCTTATTCTATATATACTTATCGATATTTTATATACAACTGGCCCAAACTGTGTTTATTGGTTTGTCTTGTGGATTTGTGTTAATTGTCGAACTGTGAAGGCTGTTAGTGAAGACGGAAATTGTGTGGGCACAATTGTTTGTAAAATGGAAGGTGATATAGGAACTGTTCGAAAAGGATATATAGCTATGCTTGCTGTTGAAGAAAATCACCGTAGAATCGGCATTGGTTTATCGCGTTCTATTTTAATTAATTTTTATCTAACGTAGGATCACGATTGGCTCAACTTGCAATCGAACTTATGATTCAAGATAGGTGTGATGAAGTGAGATGACATTTTAAACATTTTTCTTTTTACATTTGTATCAACAGTATCATTGTACTGTTTTCACATTCATCCGATTCTTTTTTGTCATGTTATTATTTGTTATTCATCATTATCCGAGATATTTATCAATATTAAAATTTGATTATAATCATAAATTCTCAGAATAATCGAACAGCGTTGTCCTCCCTTCTGTAACTATAAAATAGGCAATACTCACTTAGTGTAATCCTAGTGGTCGAAGCATTCAACCTCCAACTCCATCGGAACCTCATCTCAATTTCACTTTAGTCAGCTGAATAGCGTTTTTAGCCTTTTTGCGAAATGTATTATTCAAAGCTGGATACACAACTTCCCTAATTGCTAAGTTGCATTAGATTCTACAATATTAGTACTCGTTTAGGCATATAGTTTTGTTAGAAGGGAATCTCTAATAGGAATTTGGATTTCCAGAGGATTATTCAGCCCAGACCGGTGTGTGCTTTTACATAAATAGGCAAGTGGAACGTTTACTTCTTCCAGTTTATTTTCCATGCTATCTTTACAAAATCGGGGACACCACTACTGTTTCATTCCACTTTATCCACCCGTGCTATGTCATTCAATCATTCATGCTAAGAAAGTCGCTAATTTTCCTTTAACAACTCCCCAGCCTGTCGTAACCTTTTCAGTGATATACATCAGTTGGTTATAATCAGCGTGGAGCCTGACACAAATGTACGTTAGCCCAATTCTTTATATCGAATCAGCATCACGGTATTAACCAAGTGAGCCATCATAGTAGGCAAGACTGGTCACTGCATCGAGGTAATACACATCGAACTGGTACTGATTTGTTGTTGTGGTAAAAGTCATAAACCTCATCGTAAATACCACTCATCAGTTATCAACAGCCTGTCATCGGATTTCTAAATTCTTCGTGTGTATGATAAACTTTCATATGTTTTTATACTTCACTTCTTATATTGTTTTAGATCTCTTTAGAAGCAGAAGTTGACAACAAAGCAGCCCTTTCACTCTATGAGCAGCTGGGATTCTACAGAGATAAAAGGCTTCTTCGTTATTATTTAAATGGAAGAGATGCTTTTCGGCTAAAATTGTGGCTTACGCCACGTATGACCAATGGTCTTTTATAGTTTCACTATTCACTTACTATGCATTTGACTTCTTAGTCATTGTAAATACTTGCTTTATTTTCGTTAAACTTGTGGAACTTAGTTTTTTGGTGTACGTTCACTAAAATTTCGTCCACTAAGAGATATCATATAACATGTAAACTGAATGTTCATTTCATTCTTTAAAATACATAGTAATCCTGATCTATATGTGTTTTTATCCAACGATAAATCTGTTTAATGCACCTAAAAACGGATTCTCAATTTATTTGTTTTAAAAGTCTTTACGGTTGTAGAGTGAATCTAACGATATTCATAGAATAGTTAGCAAAAGTGTCCGTGATGAAATAATTCAATACCCCGGGTTTTTGCTCCGAAACGTACCAAGCTGTTCCTATTGGTAAAGGTTATCAACAAATAATCCTGAATCAACGTACATATTACCTCCTGTTTTTACCCAGAAACCACGTTTCGGCTGAAATTTACGTGGCAACTGTAATTTTGTCGGGTTTCCAGAGTCCGAAATTATCATTGAAGGCATACATATTTCAAGTATCTTGCATGTACCTGATTTGTATTGCAAATGCATTTTACGGGGAGATATGTACTTACGTATTATTAAATTAGTGTATGCTTCATAGTTTTCTAGTCAGTAATTAATATTGTTCTTTTGTGCATTTAGTGATCTATAGGCAGTGGACAGCTGCCTGTTTGGGCAAGGAGGATTTCACGTGCGTTTAATGTAAGAGTAAACACTCGAAATTTAATAAGTCTTATCAAAATCAAAGTTTGGCTAAATTTTCGTGTATAAAAAGTCTTATTCCTAACACTTTATAACGACATAGCCATTTGCTTAATAAATCGTTAAGCTCATCTTGTTTATTCATCTCATGTTAAATTTCATTGGCTGTTTTATTAGCTGTTGACGAATTTCATCGAGTGTTCATTTATTTCTATTAGCAAGTAGGCGAGATCACTATTATGGCGTTGGCACTTCGGTGCAATATGTGAATTCGTAAAACCAAGTGCTGATTTTAGAAGTTTGTATTTTTTATAAACCCTACTTTTAAGTTTCGAGTAAAACTCTAAGATAACTATTACCAAGAACAAGTTGTAAATTAGATGTAAGGCTATATGATGTCCGTTCAATATGATACATTTAGTACTTTCCTAATTTAAATTATCATCAAGTTCTTAGGCAAAATAAAATGATCCCACTTTGTTTCCATAAGTTCTCATCAACTGTTTGCAACCCGTGGTTTTTTCAAAATTAGAATTACAAACTAGATTAATTTTACATAAATCGGGTTGCAAGTTATCTCAAACACACATTAGCATAGTACATCAGAAATGCAGATCCAATTAGTGGGTTATCTATTTGCCTGGCTAAGTATTGTGATAATGAATAGAAATTTCTTCATCCGATTAGTCGTTAACTCCTAAGGCTTTACTTTGATAGGATTATACTGTATTGTTCGCTTCTCTGGAACAGATACCACTGTTACAGAATTATTATTATACACGGGACCCTAGTTACGTGAAATTGATGTGGATGTCCTCAGTTAATCTTATTCATTTTACAACAGAAGTAAGCAAAATGAATTTTATTTATGACTAAGTATTCACAAAAAGCCTAGTGAATCAGTTCGTGGAAGTATATCTAGCGCCAGAGTGATTAGTAAATTATGTAATTTGTTCAGGGACGATAATTGAACTAATTGAAACACTTGATATACGTGAGGATTCTCACCAGAAACCCTAAGATTAGCTTTAAAATTGAGATTTAGCCTGGGTTAGATCTCACTTCTCTTGATAAAGAGTCAACCAGATGATCCTAGGTCATTCAGTCATACAGTTATTCTTTCTCCCAAAAGTTAAGTTTGATTTATGCCTACAAAGATGCTGGTTATCATCGTTGTACGAGATCATGCTTAATAATTTGAAATTGAAACTCGGAGACCTTATACTTTTCTCAGTGGTGTGTATTTTTCAAATTTTTTTTGTCAGGGAAGAGTAATTTAGGTTGTTTTTAATTTTTTACTTGATTTTGCCAGTAATTGGTATTTTACGCAGATTTTTGAATTTCATAGTTAACATCATGAACTGATCTCAAACAACCATGGAAATCAGAAAGTGCGGGATATCTGTTTCGTCCTAGCCTGGGACCCACAAATGGGATTGGAAGATGGTTGCGAATATCGTGAGTTAACTGGAGTTGAACTTATAACCCATCGGTTATCCGCTCAGTGGTTTGGAAGTGTTTACCGCGACACCGAATTTCCTGGATTTAATCTCTAATAAGGCCGCAGGCACGCGCTGCTGAGGAGTCCTATATTAGAACGAAACATCTGTCCAGAGCCTTCTGCTTTCAATAATTGTCTAACTAATACCAGTCTACAATGTTAATTATAATTAGTACTCTACTGAAAGTTACGAACATAATATAGTCAGTACTTAAAAATAGAATGAAACCATTTTAAATACTTGAGATTATGTTATTTATTTTCATATATTTATACATATATGCATCTGTATGAATGTGTAGGGTTTTATTCTAATTCTATTGTATGAGACAATATGAGTCTATTTTTCTTAATTCACTTATAAATTCGACTAGAATTTTTCATTCAAGACAAAAAAAAATAAACAAATGAAATGAACTAAAAATAAATAAATTTCTATTAAGTTATTAGACAAATGGTGAAATTTCCAATTTGTCTTTAGTTTATGAAGATATTTATCATGAAACATTTATATTACTTTCTTTTTCCCTAATGACTAATGCATAATATAGGCTTACCAATAATAATAATAATATTTAACATTATTGTTATTACTATTATTTTGTCATTTCATTCTTTATTCATTAAAACAAAGTATAAAAAACAAACAGTATTCGATTAAATAAGAGTGAATTATTGACAGATGATTTTAAAGTAGAAAAAGAAGAAATATCTTATTCCTGTGGGTTTTTTTTGTGTGTATTGTTTTTACTTGTTTCTAAGTGGTGTTCTTGTAACCTCTTCTTTACATAATAATTTTAAAGATAATAAATTCATCAAGAGAAAAAGAAAAGTTTATTCAGAATATTTCACATGTGAACTAAAATGATTATTCATAAACTATTCTAAATGATGATTATGTTCTTTAAAATGTTCTTTTTTTTTCTTTAAAGAATATAACTATTTTAAAAAAGAAATAGTGAGTTGATAAAAGAAAGGGTATATGTGTAAGAGAAAGAGAATAGTGTGTAAAATAATAAACTAGATGACTGATAATATCGTAGAGAAATTAATAGTTTATTGTTTTAAAGTCTGTTAAAATAATTAGTTTTAGTGTTTACAATTAATGAAAGAGAAATTCACAAATATATTTAAACTGTTCCCTAGTTGTCATGACTAAACTTGACGTAAAGACAAGAAAAGAGTGAATATCAGTGAATAGATTGTAATAAATATATGAAAGAAGTGTGTTGGGGGGGGTGTTAAAAATCCGTATACATTTTTAAGTGTTAATCAAGTATGGATAAATTATTGGTTGTGTGTGTATTACAACCAATGGGAGAATAGATTAAAAAATTGACATGTGCTTAATTAGAATCACACAGAAATTTACATAGTGGATCAAGTGTCTAAATTACAGTGAACAGATAAATAATACAGTAGGGGAATGGGCTTACTATAAGAGCATTTCGAGAGGGAGAACTGACTGTCCCAACTCTCGGCCGTATATGATAATCCGAAGTATTTGAATTATAGTTCGAACTAAGAATCCCGGAAATAACGTAATCGGATCAAGAATTACTAGATAACCACAAACGAATGTACTGTATTTAGAATTCGAAATCAAGCATTCAACAAGTACAAAGGAATCATTAGTTCATTCAAACACCATACCGTACCAGCGCATGAGTTATTAACTTGTATGCTAGTCACTGTCGTGAAAATATTTAGATTGAATAGTCCACAATTAAGAATATAGAAATTCTGTTAGCTGAATTTATTTATGCTTGGCAAAAGCAGGGAGAAGAAAAGGCAAGTGATTGAAGAGATGTTTTCAAGGCAGTACAAATTATTTAGTACTAGTTTCCTAAGAAAACCTAAATTAACCTTAATAATATAGAACTCACATAAAATGGTGGGGAAGTTAGGATTTCATTCAGTCTGACAGACTAATCACGTACAAGTTCAACCTACATAAGTAATGTGATCATTGAAGTAACTAGTTTACATCTGAGGATGATTTTTTAGAAAACGGATGTTCCGCCTTAATTAGGTAAAGTATTCAAAATGAAAATAGCTGACTTATCACTAGAAATATTCACTTGAGTAGCTCTGTTATGAAATAGTCTACGAGAGTGAGGTTTTGATAAAAGTCTATCAAATAGTTATTCAGACGTTCACATGTACATTTAAAATTTTATCATTTATAAATACCAAAAGATTTTAAAATGGTGTGGTGTTTGAATAAACCAATGATTCCTTTGTACTTGTTGAATGCTTGATTTAGAATTCCAAATACAGTACATTCGGTTCGTGCTTATCTAGTACTTCTTGATCCGATTGTTATTTCTGAGATTCTTGGTTCATACTATAATTCAAATACTGCTAATCATCACATTGGCATCGCGATGGAGCCTGTGATGGAATTGTTGTATATACATTCAGATCTTCATGCTTTTGAGTATTACTTAGAAAGGTTCGAAATTCGGGCTATGACCAAGGAAGATGATGAGGATGTTAATATTGTAGCACATTTCCTCACATTCATCGGAAAAGAAGCATATAGATTATTAAAAACTCTGGCTTTACCGGAAAAGCCCATTTCGCTTTCTTATACAACTCTCAAGGATCTACTGCTAGACTATGTTAAGTACACAAATTTTGGTTGTGGTAAAGGGAGATTTCGTAAAATGATTCACAAGGATATAAAAAATTCCACTACATTACGTCATCCCAACCCAGTGCACATTCAAGGTTATGCAGATAATTCATTGAGAAGTTGCAATGCATTCCACGAAGATGGGCACAAGTTTAGTCAGTGTTTGTCCTGTGGCAGGTACCACTCTTTTAATTCATGTAAATTTCGTAATTCTAAGTGCTTTAAATGTGGTGATATTGGACATATTCAGTCAGTCTCTAATACTACTGTCCATCTTGCTGCAACGAATATTAAGTCTTGTAATTCTGATTCTACCAAGTCGAGTATTTATAATCATGATTTATCTTTATCAACGATGGCAATAGACAGTGTAGAGTCACATACCAGTTCAGAGTTAAATGAAACTCAGAATTCTTGCGAAACAACAGTTTCTAGTCAATCAACTTATCAGATTTCTCATGTTACTGTACCAGATATGGTTTTTCCTAATGATTCACATATTTCTGATGAAATTTCCTACAAATCTGAGGAAAATATGTTGAGTGAATCTAGTCATGATCGAAAACCTGATGTAGTTTTGATAGATGCTAATTTTTCTAATGATCCTTTACTCTGCAATGACATTCCTAATGAATTCGAGGAAACTATTTCAGAAGAGTCAAGTCTTGATGTGATACCAAGTATTATTTGTCCCCATAATCCATTTATTTCTTGTGGGAAACTTGTTCAACGCGAAGCACTAGTATTAAATAAGCTCCATTCTGATTACAATTCAGATTATTTGATATCAACTGCTGATCATCCTTATCACAAATCCACTTCCAATGTATACTCTAATCAATGTTAAAAATATGCTTTAAACGAAGCCATATCATTCATAAATTGCGGATATGAAGATCCAACATTATTTCGTGGGGAAAGATAGTCTAAAAGTCTATGGTTCAAATTCTAGGTAACAGCGGTTTCAGTACACAACCGACATGCTGATTACACAATTCCAGGAAGCAGGTGAGTCTGTTCCGATTTCGGTTATTAATTCTAATACGGATGAGTGCATTCTAGATAATAGAGTTTTTATCCAATACAATGTCGGAAAGACACAGGATGAACTTGAGAAGAAGACGTACAATTGATTACAGACACCTAGACCCCAATTTAAGCTGTGGTGGTTGTGGTGTTTGAATGAGCCAATGATTCCTTTGTACTTGTTGAATGCTTGATTTAGAATTCCAAATACAGTACATTCGTTCGTGCTTATCTAGTACTTCTTGATCCGATTGTTATTTCTGGGATTCTTAGTTCATACCATAATTCGAATACTCCTAATTATCACAAATGGATTAATCAATTAAAACTTTCCTGACCAATACATGTACAAATTTGGATTAATGTAAGTGTATGGACCTTGTAAAAAACAATTGACTCTCATTTAAAGACTAGTAACTAACCAATCCTTATGATTACTGTATTTGTTCACTATGATAATAAAATTGTCAATTTGTCATTAACTTTTTCTTTCAATTTCTTTCTTTTCTCAACAAATTTTCTTCATAATTCGTTAATTTCTCCAACTTTAACTATTTTTTTCTTCTTAGTGAAAAGAACTCAGTAACGCATGAATAATTTTACACATTTAACACACTACTATAAAACAACTTGAAACAAATAAAATTTCTTCTTTGTTTTTTCCCGGGAAAAAAAAACTGGTCAATTTACACAAACATAATTCAATTCCCAATTGTTAAAATTTGGTGTGTGTTTGTGTGTATGTTTCATCAACATAGAATATTGAACATAAAAATGATTGCATACGTACACATATATATTATTTAGCCCGATTTTAAAAAAAAACCTCTGAAGCTTTTTATTAGTTTCTATATAGGAAAAGAAACAGTAGTTACTGAGTCCTTTTTGATTTTATATTTCAAATGTCAATTCTTTTTAATGATTTCATCAATTTAATTTGATCAGTATACAATTATCAAAAAATTATAAAAAAAAGCATTGGTATACTTGAATGATTTTGCTAAGACATGCAATAAAGAATATTTACACTTTTACATTTGTCATTAAGTTTAATTGTTCTATTTATATATTTGCTGTTACTGAATAGCTTAATTGTTAAATGCCGAACTTTTGAGTTAGATAATAAGGGTTTGAATAACATAAGAAGCATCAGTTCCTTTAAGATTTCAAGTGCACCATCCAACTATATTTAGATTTTCCTGCTAATTGCCTCTAACTATATAAATTTAAATGTCATTCAAGTCTCTTAAACTAATGCCCGTAATGTAATTTGATTGGCAGAATTCGATCAACAGTAAATAAACAAGACTTAGGTTGAATATAACACTTCATGGTTTAGGAATTGTATCACTGGAAAATATTGATAAGATAATAAAAAGAGAGATTTATAGCGATCAAAATGAGATAAAGAATTGTTTATTGAATTCGAGCAGAGATATTCAAATATTATAGGTTGGTAGGTAAAACAAAAGACCTTATTATTTGGAAATCTATCCTTTCATTTCTGCGATTCAATGTTGATTTCTTAGATTCAAAGATGTGAAGAATCAAAAAATGTTCTTCTAAATATCACTTAAAAAGTTAGATAGTAAGTGGTTGTAGGATCATCAGCAAAAAGTCAATAACCTGAGTTTTGTATTTATGGGTATTTATTAATAAAGGACAAAATATCGACCCCATTGAAGCAATCACAGACGTTAATAGTCGGAGGATCTTGTAATGTCTTTCATATTCTCATTATCCATATTAAGCAAAAATAAAGTTTTGTAAAGTTTCCATTGATTTTACAAATAGCAGTACTTTTAACTGTAAAAACTACCCACAACAAAAAATCTTTCATTGGCTTACAAAACGTGTATATCTTTATAATTATGATTGAAGGACTCTAAACATAT